AGCGGTGTTAGGGGCGGAGAGAAAGAACATGCTTTCTCCCTTTACCTCTCCCCCTGCCCCAATCTTTCTCTCTCTCATTGGCAAGCACACATATCCTATGGCAATTAGGGGGAGGGGGAAGCCAAGATCTTAGTCCAAAAAGTTCTCCCAATGACCTATCTCCTACTCCTCCTCACTCATTCCCTCCAGCTACACTGGCCGCCTCAATGTTGTCATGTCTCTCAAGCATAACTAGCATATTCTCACCTCAGATTGTTATATTTGATTTCCCCTCAGACCAAAACGTTCATCTCCCAATAAATGAATAGCCTATACCCTCACTTTAAAGTTTTTGTTTTTGTTTTTCTTTTTGTTTTGTTTTGTTTTGTTTTCAGAGGTTTTTGCTATAGGGAGCGTGCGCTCGCCAGACAGACAGAGACAGACAGAGAGATAAAAAGTGAGAAATCACCCTCCAGGGGGGATGGCCATGCCGCAATCCATTCTCCTCCATTCTCCTCTCGGGATCTTAGGCACGCATGCACAGCACACACGCCCGGCTTGAGTTTTAAGCCACCGGGTCCAGGACGCGAACCGCGGTCGACTACATGGGAGTACAGCAACATAGCCCTTATGCTAACTGCTGGTCCCATATTTTTACAAGTTTAGTGATACCTTGGTTGTCTTGTCTCTTACACCAGGACATAAGCAAAGCTTTTGTTCTGTTACTCTGTTTTATTCACTACTGAAACATTAGTACCTGGCACACAGTAGGTTCTCAATACTTACAGGAACCAACAAATAAAGCTTAATGCCACACTCTGGACCTGGTTAACTATATCTCATTGACCTTTATAAAGAAAAAAAGATTTATAACTCACTATATCATAGCCATAATACCTTACATTTCAAAGAAGGATTCAACATTCACCACTGAACAAGCCTCTGATTTTGGTGAGTCCCACCAAATTTATCAGAGCAGCCATTTTAGTCCTTCCTGGTCTTCAAACCCTATTAATTTTTCCATCTAGCTTCTTTATCCTTATATAGATAACCATGTTTCCTAAGTTGTTTAAAACGGCATTAAGTATGGTGCACCTTTCCTCAAACTCAGACATCTCAGGCCTTTCACTGTCAGAAAAGAAGGGACCAGCAGTTAGTGTAATGGCTATGTCGCTGGACTCCCATGTAGTCAGTCAACCGTGGTTCAAGTCCTGGACCTGGTGGCTTAAACTCACACCGGGCACGTGTACATGCATGCCCATGATCCTGAGAGGAGGAGGAAAAGACATTAAGGTGTGGCCATCCCTCCTGAGGAGTGATTTCTCGCTTTCTCTGTCGAGTGCATGCTCCCTATAGCAAAAACCTCTCCAAAAAAAAAAAAGAGAAAAGAAAAGGATACCATTACTCTTTATTTCATTTTCTAACTCCTTGCCTTTGGTTCCCTATCTTCAATTCACTGCTCACTCCTTCACATCCTTACCTATTTGTTCTCAATTCTACCCTACATTATTTAAAAACTTGACAATGTTTACTGACACGTTGGCTGTCTACTTCCTCCCTTCTTTGCACAGCACTTATTTCAGTTTAAATAATGCAAGAGTTCTTCCCCTGGAATCCATGCACAGACTAGAGTTAGGGGTCGCTGAACCCTATGTAATGATAACACACCACTAAACTACGTCGCACCAGAAGAAGCACATAACTCTTCCAGTCTCTTGTTCCAATGTCTATAAACTTTGAGTAAAGACACAAGAGTAGGTGGGCAGTGATTAAAAATGATCACAAAATCATATTATGAAAGTGGTTCTTTTAATAACTTGCCTTACATTATGTTAAGCATGCTTCCATTTAAATTTATTCCATAAATAAAATCCACTACTGGCTACTTCTTGACTCATTTAAAATCCATTACTGCATATTTTTTTGACTCATTCAACCTTAGAAAACTACATTTATTAGAGTCTGGTATAACCTACACTTAGATTTTATTACATAAAAATCAAATACTGGAAGGTCCTTTTTCAACCTTTAATGAGTCACTCTATCTTCTAACAATTTCTTGATAATCCACAAAAAAACACATTGTATGAATGTTTGCATATCTTTAAAATAAAAACATACCAGAGAGACCCATACAACAGATTGTGGTAAAAGCAGTATGGGCAACGGCTTTTGACATTAAAAAAAAAAAAAAAGGCAGTAGTCAAGAGGTGAGCAAGACAGATGAGAATTCAAGTGGATCAGACAGATGAGAAATGAAATACATTTAAGTACACACTTTAAAATAAAAAAGAAAAGGTAAATAACTGAAAACTAAGAATAAGAGAAGAACAAAAAATACAAGTAAACCCCAATATATTTAGTTGATGCAGAAAATACAGACTATTCTGTACTTTCTTGTACAAACAAGATATTGTTATCAACGACAATTTTTCAAAACTCTTATGCATTTGATTAAAATATAAAATGTAATCCAAATATAGCATGTTTTATATTTCAAAGCCAAAATTAAACAGTGCATTTTCTATGGATTCAAACTGCCGAGAGTCTGCTCTACAATTTACCCTTACTAACTCACCCGACACCTAAACTATACCAATTTAAAGATGACTAGTTAATAACGTTAAGGAGTATAGAAAAAAGAATGACTCTATTACTCTTAGTTAACCAAAAAATAAACTTATTACTTTTCCAAATTCAGAATGTTTCTTCCATATCAAAAATGCAGTCATTGTGGCAGCCCCATAGCACAGCTACTAGGCCCCACACAAAGCGAGTCAAATCCAACATGGCACTAAGGTCTGAATCCCAGACCTAAAGACTTAAAAACAAAGATGAATGTATGCGCATGCACAGGGCTCTCACAGGATGGAGAACTTGGGCAGAAAGGACTGCAGCCTGACCAGGCACAGTTAGGGGTTGCTTTCCCTCTTTCTTCCTGGTATGCACACTCGTCCTCTGGCATTAAAAACAAAAACAAAACAAAACAAGGATCAGAGGGTGGCCTGTGGTTAAGGCACTGGACTCATACATGGGTAACCACAATTCGAGGCCCAGACCCAGTGGCTTGAAAACTGCACCAGGCACGTGTGCGTGAGTGCCCAAAATCCCAAGAGAAGACTGGAGGAAAAGCGGCTGTGGCATGGCCATCTCTCGAAGGGTAGTTTCTCACTTTCCCTCTCTGTCTCTCTCCCACAAGTACATGTGTCCTGTGGCATAAAAAAGCAAATAACTAACTAAATCAATCTATCACTCATTAAACTTTAATCTAATGGCCAATATTATCTATTTATCTAAAATTTGGGACATGCATGGTGGTAAAAGAACATATAACACACAGCATTCAAAGGAAACTCCTTAGAGCTAAATGGAGCCTAATATTTCTTTTTTTTTAATTTTATAAATGAGGAAATCAGAGTTCAGAAAAAAACACCTACTTTAATTAAGATCAGAACCCAGTCCAATGTACATGACATGCCACCCAAATATTCTTAAGTAAATCAAACAAAAGGTTAAATACTATTCAGTTTAGTCATGAACATGTACTGGGTCGTCAGAAATGTCACAATGCATTTTCACATAGAAAAACAGAAAAATATGTTATGACTTTTGATGATCCAATAAAATTGTGCAAAATATCTACTTAATTACCAAAAATACAGTAGTTTTTTTAAAAATACTGATAAAGCAAAACGTTTGTGGACTCTTGTTTTGTCAGAAATATGACTATGAAAGTCAAAACATACTTTCTGCAATTCCATATACAAACTTTTGGGGAAGAAAAAAAAGAGAGAGAGAATACTTACAGTACTATGAAAAACAACACTGTGTCCCTTTCCTAAACTTTCTATATGAGCTGAGAGGTTAAAGCAAATGGCTCGATGTCTTATCGCATCCAGTGTTTGTGCATCGAAGAAATCATGTGGTCGGGCTAAAGGTCAACACAAAAAAGGTAAAGCATATTTAGAAAAATGTAGCAATCTCCTATACAGCCTAATAGTCTATTTTTCACAAAGTAATAAAGATTGAAACAATTAACATATGCCTACACAATGTTTAATGCAAGATATTCTTTACTTTCACAATATGAACTGAGAAAATGAAGAGGTGTGAAAAAAGAATTACAAATAATAAGAAAAAGTAGGTTAATTCTACCCCTTAGTAACAGGTTCGAAACTCAGACTGCATGATTCCACATTTCAAGAACTTCCTTTTTCATGCTATTTTATTTACTTCAGCGACTCTCATCAGCACCAATCCTGCATTTTCTATCTGAAGCACAGAATGTGCACGCCACACTGGGATCTCAATCTTACCATGCCAGACATGAAAACACATTCTGTATTAATATATAATCAAAACTGTTCCAATTTTGACAAAGTAGTCATAATATTTTCAGGTTTTTGACAAATATATTCTTAATTATAAATAACTTCCCAACAAAGATCTAAGAAATATACAAATACATGTTCAAATCCTAATCAGTCCACAAAAATTCTAACCCCAGCTCCACCAGTTATCAGCTGTGTCTTGGGGAACAAACAGCTTAACCTATATTTGACCGCTTCCTTATATGTAAAATGGGGATAGCATAACAACTACAGATTGTGGTTAAATACAGCCAATGCACATAAAATATGCCTTGTAAATCATAAAGCAGTTTACATTAATGAGCTTGTATTACTTGAACACTTTAAATTTCCATTTTCATCTCACAAAATATTCTTATAAATTGTGCTATTCTTATTCCTGATGAGAAAGTTGGTGAAAATAAAAATAATAAATTTGTAGTTGCAGCATTTATTAATACATGTAATTTTTCAAATCTTTAATTAAAAACTCAATTGTATTAACAACAAAAGAAATGCCTTGACTTCCTGGTACAGCACACAATGAATTACATGGATGCTGATTTACCATAAAATCAGAGCTTTCAGAACATCTACACAAATCATCATAGCTTTTGTAGAAGGGACAACCTCACCGCGTGTCCTGTTCAACAAACGACAACCACGGGTCAGCAGGTGGCGTGGTGGTCAAGACCTGGACTCCCACATGGCCAACCATAGTTCATGTACTGAATCTGGCATCTTGCTTTCTCTACTTTCTCTTTCTTACTTTCTCTCTCTGGATCTCTGGTCAAATTTTAATAATGACGAATAAAAAATAATAATTCTTAAAAAAAAATCTAGACAGCTCTTTTCTCCTGTATTTTTTCCTTCACTTGATTTAAACAAAACAACTTGCACTAATAAATTGGCAAAATTCACAAGACTAAAAATATAACGACAATGGAAAATTAGAAAAGTATCTGACATTTTGGGGAAGATAAAAAAATGATTTTATCTAATGCTGAAAAAACAAATTCTTTTCTGTGGTTACTGAAAAAAGTATGTAGTTTCTCTATGCTCTCTAAATGCATGTTTTCCCCCAAATAGAAGCATTCCAAGAAAACAATGACTTATTTCCCTGTAAGTCTCTCTAATCAAGGACTTCTATTTTAACCTTTAAACATCAAGTCATCACTTGAATTAAATTCAAAATAAAGAAAGGTACCCTCATAATAAGAATCAATGTATTTAGACCTTAACCAGATTTACCTCCACTGCTGAGAGTAAAAATACTAAGAACACCAAATTAGAGGCCGTGCCCTATAGCACAGTGGTTAAGTAAGGTATATCTAGACCTGGGTCCCAAAAGGGCAACCACTGTTCAAATCCTAACCCAAGTGGCTTACAAAACACCTCAGAAGCATGCACAGAAATGCCAAGATCCTGACAATATGGAAAAAAGAAGAAAAAGAGGACCAGCAGTTAGCATAATGGCTGTCGCTGGACTCCCACATAGGTGACTGCAGTTCACATCCCGGACCCAGTGGCTTAAAACTCACGCTGGGCGCGTGTGCGTGCGTGCCCAAGATCCCGAGAGGAGAATGGAAGAGAAGGGATTGTGGTGTGGCCATCCCCCCTGGGGGGTGATTTCTTGCTTTCTGTCTCTCTGTCTCTGTCTGTCTGGCGAGCGTACGCACCCTATAGCAAAATCCTCTCAAAAAAAAAAAAAAAATAAAGCAAAATCCTGAAAAAAAAAAAAAAAAAAAAGAAGAAGAAGAAAAAGGACCATGGTGTGATCACACTCCACGAGGGCGGGAGGGGGGGATTCTCTCTCTCCTTCTCAAAGGTGTGTACACCCTTTGACAATCAAAGGAAAAAAAAGACACCAAACTACAACAGTAGTCTCCAAAGCAAATGAGTATCATGATCCATTAGAGCAAAACAAAATTACACTAACTTCTCCCTTTTCCTTTTTTATTTTTATTTGTCAATGGACATATGTGCTTACCAGAGGGAACAAAAAGCACCCTCCACAATCCCTTCTCTTTAATTTCCCTACCATGTTGAGATTTGGACCACACATGCACATGCACCATGCATGTATTTCAAGCTGCCAGGGACTGGGATTTGAATGACGCAGTTGGCCAAATGGGATTTGGCTCCCTCAAATAAGAGGCCTTGGGACAGCCTTTATCTTGTCTTTTTTTAGTATTTTTTTCTGGCAATTGCTTTATAATGTGCATTAGTTGCATTTTCTGTACACACATATAAATTACACATGTAAAGACTGTGTGTACAAGCTTATTTTTTAAGGTTTTTGCCATGGGATGTATGCACTTGTGAAAGAGAGACAGAGAAAAGGTAGAGAGAGAGGACATGAGAAATCATCCCCCAAGGGGCGTTGCTATATCGCAATCCTTTCTCCTCCTGGGATTTTTGAACACACGCGTATACACACCTGGCATAATTATCAAGCTGATCACGTCAGTCACATGGGAATCCAGTGCCTAAGACCAAGTGATCTTTTAACTGATGAGATATATAATCAAAAATCCTAGAAACCATGAACATAAAAACTTTTCCTGTGGTTGAAAATTATACATACTGGGGCCAGAAGGTGGTGCAGTGCTTAAGGCACTGGATTCCCACATAGCTGACCACATCTTTGAGTCCTAGACCTGGAGGCTTGAAAATCACAGCTAGCATGTGTATGTATTTCCCCAAAATCCCGCCAAGATACCAGAGAAGCAGAAATGGCGTTATGGCAAGGCCCCCTGGGGAGTGATTTCTCACTTTCCCTTTCTGTCTCTGGCGAGTTAACACACCCTACGGCAAAAAACTTTAAAAAAAACTATGCATGTTATGTTGATTGTTTCTATCCTTAGGTGTACTAAGGATGCTATGACTTTGTAGAAGAGTACTTTTATTTGTAGGAGATGCATATCTAAGGTACTTCAGAATCAAAACCACAAAATGTGTATGCACGCGCACACACACACACATGTACTAAAGCAAATGTAGTGAATCTCTTAAGTACCCAAGCCTTTTTTTATTAAATGGCATACTATCTGTACATAAACTGTGCATATCCTCACATATACTGTAATTTATACCTAGATTACTTAAAATAGCTAGTACCATAAAAATGCTACATAAATAATTGCTATACTCCATTAGTTTTAACTTATCCCTTTTTTTTATTGTCATATTGTTTTCCTGAATTTTTTTCCAATATTTTTTATCCACAGCTTGTGGAAGCCACAAATGCATAACTCATGGATACAGAGAGTGAACTACACTGTGTAAACACTAAGACCAACATGTAATCAAGTCAGGTCAAATAGGTGGGGAACTTACTCTTGGTTTCAACTGTCATGGTAAATACATAGTAATTTTCTTTGACTGCTAGCTACTCAATTCAAAATTCAAGTAAAACGACTAAGATATTATTAACGTTTTTATAAAGGGAGGTCAAAAAGAAAATGGATCCATAACTTCAACTGAATACCAGTTTTGACAATAAACAAACATGTTTATTTCAATAGTAAGTAACTTTTGGGACCAGCAGTTAGAGTAATGGCTATGTCACTGAACTCCCACGTAGTCAACCACGGTTCGAGTCCTGGACCCAGTGGCTTAAACTCACGTCAGGCGCGTGTGCATGCGTGCCCATGATCCCAAGAGGAGAATGGAGGAGAAGGGATTGCGGCATAGCCATCCCCCCCGGGGGGTGATTTCTTGCTTTCTGTCTCTCTGTCTGTCTGTCTGTCTGGCAAGCGCACGCACCCTATAGCAAAAACTCTCAAAAACAAACAAACATAAAAAAACAGTAAGTAATTTTTTAACAAAAGAGAGAGAGAGAGAGATTTTTGTTATACGGTGTCTGTGCTCACCAGTGAGAGACAGAAAGACAGACAGAAATCATCGCCCCCGGGGAGTAACCACACCGCAGTCACTTCTCCTCTAAAGATTTTAAAAATGCATGCATAGAATTTCTTTTCTTTCTTTTTTTCTCTTTTTTTGTCATTTTTCCTTTAGGAAAGAGAGAGATTTTTGCTATAGGGTGCATGTTCTGGCCAGAAAGAAAGAAACCAAGAAATCACCACCAGGAGGATGTCCACGCCACAATCCCTTCTCCTCCAGTCATCTCTTGGGATTTTGGGCATGCACACAAGCCTCGTGTGAGTTTTGTTTTGTTTTAAGGATTTATTTTATTTAACTTTATTTGTCCATTTATTTATTTAGTTAGTTTTGATTTGACCAGAGAGAGGAGTGGGGTAGGGGAGGTGGGGGTGGGGGGCGGCGGCAAACCACCAAATCCAGGACTTGAACTATGGTCAATCGTGTGGAAATCCAGCGTCCTTTACCACCACACCACTTGCAAGTCCCCTGGCCTGAGTTTTAAGCCACTGTGTCCATGACTCAAACTACGGTCAACTACTTGGGAGTCCACTGACATAATCATCATACCATCTGCTGGTCCCCAGTATGAGTTTTAAGCTGCCAAGTCCATAGTCAACTACGTGGGAGTCCAGCGACAAAAGCATTATGACATCTGCTGGTCTCAACAATAAGAAATTTTTAAAAAAGACTCCAGGAAAGTTTTATTTTTTGTGTTTTGTTCATTTGTGAGTGGTACCTCTGGATAACAAAAGATCCCAATGTTTTAGAGACTAGTTTTATATTTAAGTCTGGATTAGTGTTTGGAGTCTCTTCTATAGACTAAACAAATCCCAAGAGAAGCTTTCTTTTTTTCTTTCCAGTTCTCTCCTGCAATGGACTACCTTACAGTGACAGTTTAATTTTCTCATTCACTCATTCATTCTTACTTTTTCATTGAGAATATTAAATTCACCAGCTGACATGAAGAACCAGACATGGTGCTGGGCACTAAGGATTTAATGTCAATCCCTCCTCACAGCACTTACAATCCATTCAATCTAATTCTTTCCCATTTTAAACAACAAGAACACATCATGTAACCTGGTAAGTAAGCACACTGCCACTGTGCGTATGTCACACAATCCACTGTACGTATGTACTATGACAAAGATGAACTTAAATTTTCTTACTCCTCACAGCACTTCAGAGTACATAGGCTACTTAAGTTTTACTAATTTTTATCTGCAACATGTTCAAATTTTCTAAAAAAAAAAAAAAATGTCCAAAAATACCCTATTTTAAATTTTCCTAATTTAGAACAGTATCAAAATTCCCCCCAAAATCTAATTCTATACAGAATTTGTATTCTACAAGCTTATATACTTAAACCCCGTTAGCTACTATAAACATGTCACTGAATTCTCACACTGAAAGATAGGTATCCATCTACTCATTACTCTTTTTTTAACTGCCAGAGTAGGTACACGTGCTCACCAGAGAGCGAGAAAGAGAGGGAGATAGCACCCCACAATGGAATGAGGTCAAGTTGCAATCCCTTTCTCCTTCATTTCCTTCTCTTGTCAGGATTTGAGGCACACATGCACCTGCGCCCAGCATGGTCTTCAAGAGACTTGAACAGCAGTCGGCCATGGAGGATTCAGCTTAACATTAAGCGAGAGGACCAGCCCTTTATTACTTTTAATAGAAATGGATAAGCAGAGTTGAGGAAACTAGATTTGCATAAAAGTTAAGACAGATACAAAAGCCATTTAATGCATACAGATTTTCTAAGTTAAACACTTACGTAATGAGCGCCTTCTTTTGTTCTTTAATTTCCTCCTTTTGTTCATTCCAGCTTTAGAAGGAGATTCTTCTTTGGCCTTTGGCTGGTTAGAAACTTTTGAGGAGTTCTGCTGACTGAAGTGTGTAGGTACATGGCGTGCTAGTCCTCCCTGAGACGCAAAGCTGGCATTGCAGCCACCAACGACACACTAAATAAAAATAAGAGGAAAAGAAATGTTAGAGATGCTGTGTTGGGTGTGAGCAGAACAGAAGTGAATATTTCATATTTTCAGAAGTAAATCAGTAGCTCATTAGGATTCATTTTAGTCTAATATTCACCTAACTGACCACAACATGTTCTTGCAAAGGAAAACATAGTTAAGGGACCAGGAGGTGGCACAGTGGTTAGGGCACTGGACTTCTATGTGGTTGCCCATGGTTCGAGTCTCAGAACACACTGCTTGAAACTCACACCAGGCGTGTGTATGCATGTCCAAAAACCCAAGAAGAGAATGTAGGACAGGGGAATACAATTAGGCCATCCCACCTAAGGGGTGATTTCTAACTTTCTGTTTCTCTCTGTCTCTCCGGCTAGCATTTACGCTCTACAGCAAAAATATCTCTCCCAAAAAAACCCAGACACACTAAAGAATGTTATGACTTTTTAGATGAACCAGAAAAGGAAACCGTACAGCCCATTCATAGTACAATCCTTTCATGTTTCATGAAGGTTACATACGTCAGGCAGTGCCAGAGCTAGAAAACAAAGTTCAAGTTTCATGACTTCCTTTTCTTTACTGTTCTTGCCACTGGACTCAAGACAAAAATAGTGAGATTCTTCCCAGTAAACTCATTAAACCCATTAAATTAATCACTTTAGTGACAGAAACAGTAAGTGGTTTCACAAGAAAAAAATCAGAAATCCTTATAATTATTTGGATTCCTAAATATTTCTCTTAAGATACACACACTACTGAGGCCAGCAGGTGGCATGGTGATTAAGGTGCTGGGCTCCCACATGGCCGACCATGGTTTGAGTTCCAGACTCTAGCTTGAAAATCATACCAGGCATGTATGTGTACATGCCCAAAATCCAGAGCAGAGATGGAGGAGAAGGAAAATCACCCCCGGGTGGTGATTTTTTATTTCCCTCTCTCGGTCTCTGGTAAGTACACACGCCTATGGCAAAAAAATAAATAAATAAACAAACACTATGAAACCTCCAGCAACCTCCTACTGTTCCACACTGTTAGAAATGTGGCAAACTATTAAACACTTAGAGAAAACATGTTCAGTATTAGTCTTATTCTACCTTCTGAAAGTTCCATTAAATACTGCATTATTAGCCTTCTATACCTGCAAGATTGAGAAGTTAAAAGGTTAACTACCAACTTCACCTGGCAGATCTCCTATTCAAGAAATAAAGGCACATTTTTCAGCTATCACAGAATTAGGGCACAATAGTTACAATAATTCAAGTGGTGATTCCGAGTTATATCTTAGGAAATAAATTTTTCAGGCATGCAAGCAAACAAACCTTAGTAAGTAGAGCAGTTTTCAAAGTGATTCCCTGGTAGCAAAAGCCACACCTGGATTATGATTATCCAACTTACTTCGTTTCTAACTTGACAACCAAATCCCAAACATGTGAATCTGTCACGTTTGACACCAAATATATCCATCACATTACTGTCAGGCTCTTTACCTTGTATTACAGTTTGTCTACATAATACCACCCCCAAAAAAGACTTAAAGTAAATAAAATTAAAATGAATAAAACCCTACACATCTCCTAGTGTTTTCTTTCAAGTCAGGAACCTCTAGCCATTTCAATCTTCTAAAAATACAACACAACCTTCTAGCAGAAATCCAAACTTTCTCCACAGTCTCTCTCAGGTGGAAAAGAGCTAGTCTTCCTTTGACGATGAAGCCAAACTTTCACTGTGTATCAAGGTACACTTTTGTTGCGTTTTGAAGACAAGAATGTACATTTATAAATACTTATATTCCCAGAAGCACCTTGTATTTCACAGATTTATAAATACACTAGCAGAACTACATGGCAGTATCCTTATTACCAACAGATTGATAAAAATCGACCCAGGTGTGCGGTGGTACAAGAAGTAGGGCACTACCATGTAATAGGAGGCCACGGTTTGATCTGAAAATACCAGGTGCTTTCGTGATCCTAAAAAACTGGAAGCTTTTGAAGGGAAGAGGGAAATCACAGTGTGGTGAGACTGTGAAGGATGTCTGCCCCACGAATGAAAATAAATAAATGAAGATTTTAAAAATCTGATCAAATGGATGCTGGCTGAAATATTTTACTGCAAATTCCTTATATAATTCTACTAATAACTTCTGTTTTGGGCCAGCTCCCACCTGCAATGGATAATGTACTGCATGATACAAACTGGGTTATCACATGGCAACTACACTTAGAACCCACATCCAGGAAACATACTGGGCACATACACAAGTACGCAAGACCTGATGCACTGGAGGATCATTTGTCCAGACCCTGTAGGGTACTCATCTCTCTCTCGTTCATTCTCACTCTCACTCTTCCACTACTCGTACACGCATGAGCACATTCTATCATGAATGAATAAAATGAACATTATATGGCCAGCGGGTGGCAAAGAGGTCAAGGTAGCTGGATCCCACATAACAAACTGAATGGTTTGAGCCTGGGACCCAGTGACTTAAAACTTCCATAAGCCACATGTGCATTCTTACCAAAAATCCTGAGAGAAGAATGAAGAGAAGAAGGGACTGCACCGTGGCCATCCCTCCCCACTTCTCCCCCTCCCCCAGAGAGTGTGATTTCTCACTTTCCCATTTGCGCACACACTTCCTCTCTCTCTGCAACTGCATACACCATATAGATAGCAAACAAACAAACAAAAGATTATTATTATTCTGACATACAAGAGAGATTTGGGGGCATCTAACACCACTCACATGGTACTGAAAATCATTACCCACTCTAGGGTGTACACTAAGTTAACAGAGAAGGGAATGATTAAAGATTTTAGTTCAAGTACTTAACAATGGCTGGTATTATACAATATGCTAAAAGTAGAAGGACAAATAAGATGGCACTTGCCTGGAAGAGCTTCTATATATTCATCAAGACATATACATAAAGCAGTAAATTCAAAAGAAAATAGAGTTAACTACGTTACAGAGTGACATGGGAAAACAGAGACACATTAGCTATATCTATCGGTTTAAATTGATATTTATTAAATTATTCTATCAAACTTGTGAATGTGTGCTCAACAGCCTGTATCAAAAATGCTTAGCTACAGGGCTGGTCCTGTGACCAACTTTCTGGTTAAGGAGCCATATCCCACATGGCCAACCTAACAGTTCAAGTCCTAGACATCCTGGGCACATGTGCCTGCGAATCCAAAATCCAGAGAGCATGGAAAACACGGGGATTGTGACAGGACCACATCGCCCTGGGACTGTGTTCTTCCTCTCACTCTGCCTCTCTTTCGCACGTGTACATGCTCTCAAGCAAATTTTTAAAAATAAAATGTTTGTTTTGCTTTTCACTTTTTATACAGGCCATGTGTACTTGTGGCACAGAGATAGACTCAGAAATCACCCCCCAAGGAAGTTGGTGGTGCCACAATCTCTTCTCTATTTCTTTTCACAAGATTTTTATTCACTTACCCACATGGGCCTGAAATGTTTTTCAAGCTGCTGGGTGGACCCTAACAGTCAGCCATGTGAAATCCAGCTGCCGAAATGATTATACCACTAGCTGGTCAAAGAACAATGATTTTTTTAATTTGTCATCTTCAGCAGATTATGACAATGCCAAAGAACTACACTGTTCACTATAAAAGCCATGATCCAAATATCACTACTGAATATATTATGATTAGCATAACTGACAAACTAAATTTAAAATTTTCATTTCCTATGTTAATTATTATTTATTCAGGTGTACCAAACATAACATACAACTAACCATTTTATTTAAATAACTATTTATTTAATTCCATCTATTATTATTTTTTAATCTGACCAGAGAGAGACAGAGAGAAAGGGAAAAGAAGGCAAGCCACCAAGTCCAGGACTTGAACCCTGGTGGCCTATGTGGGAAAATCCAGCGCCTTCAACCACCACGACACTTGATAGCCCCACAACTAACCATTCTAAACTGTACACTGTAGGGCCGGTTCCACAGCGCAGTGAAGGGAGCCAGGTCCTACATGACCAACCACGTGGTTTGAGTCCTGAACCTGGCAACTTGAAAAACACAGCAGAAAAATGTGCACCTCAAATCCTATGTTTCCTCACCCAAAATAACTCTATATCCTGGCTACTACTGTGGACAAGTAGCTGTTCTAAAAGAAAAAGAAAAAAAATTTTGAGAGGTTTTTGCCTTAGGGTTTGTGTGTTCGCCAAAAGAGACAGACACAGTGAGAGGAAAAAGCGAGAATTCACCCCGCAGGGGGATGACCACGCCGCAATCTCTTTTCCATTCTCCTCCCAGGATCTTCAGCATGCACACACACATGCCTGGCATGAGGTGTTTTTTTCTCTTCTTTTTTTTTTTTGGAGAGGTTTTTGCTATAGGGCATACGCGCTCGACAGAAAGACAGAAAGCGAGAAATCACATCCCAGGAGGGGATGTCCACACCGCAATCCCTTTTCCTCTCAGGACATTGGATCTGGGACTTAAACCACAGTCAACTACATGGGAATCCAGCGACACAGCCATTACGCTAACTTCTGGTCCCGCCTGGCATGAGTTTTAAGCTACCAGGTCCAGAACTCAAACATGTGTATGTATGCACATACATACACATGTATGATTTTCAAGCCCAAAATTTCTGGCATGATTTTCAAGCCCAAAATTTCTGAGAAGAGATTAGAAAAAGACTGTGGCATGGCCATCTTCCCAAAGGGAGATGATTTCTCACCTTCCCTATTTGGCTGGATGGCTGATAGGGAAGCACCATATAGCAAAAACTTAAAAAAAAAAAAAAAAAAGAAAGAAAGAAAAAGAAAAAGTAAAGTATACCTTGCTTAAACCACAATCAAGACAAAATATGATTCGTTTGAGAAATACAAATAGTATGATATGGCAGAAAGCTATTTTATAAGGGTGGAATGAGTGAATGAGACTAGAGAGGCAGGAAATATTAGACAAGAAGTCTTATATGTTATGTACACCACAGTAAGAAAT